AACAGCGGAGACTTCGTTCCAAGTTCTGAATGACCAAGGAGTCGTTGTGCAATCCCGTGAAAGTTCTACAGAGGATTCAATCCTTTCTGCGGACGACATTCGACTCGACCAGACCTCGGAGGCCCGACGTTATCTCTCTAAGAAGGGCGACGCGGATGCGCTGCGGGATATACTGGTCAACCTGCACGCGGAGTGGATGGCGTCGTCCGAAGCGAACGCGCAGCCGGATGTCATGGAAGAACTAGAGACGAGGCACAAGGAAGTGTTGGCAGAACTGAGGCGAACTGAAGAGGAGTTGGGCACGCTTTACGCCGAACTGCCAGAGAGGAATGGGAGCATTTCCAAAGACCAACTTTGTCCGCCTTCAGAAATGGAGCAGAAAATCAGTCGCCAGAGCGATATCGATCACGAGGAAACGGGCAGCGGATCGGGGTCTCCGCCTCAATCGGGGATTCAAGGGAACAGCCTGTCCCGGATCCTAGAAAGCACGACAAATGACAACTCGGTTCGATCGACGGCCCTCGTCCATGCCTATCTCGTATATCAGCGGCAGCAGTCTCCCCGCGGGCAGTAAAACACCTCCAGAATATCTGAAGATGCTAGGCGAGAAGACGATCAACCCTGAGAGAAGGCCCCAAACAACCTTCGGCGTTGAGGGCAGCTTGAAGAGGAGCCGTCAAAAGACGGCCGCGGCGAGGGATCTAGTTGCCCGGGGGGGCTAACGTCAAAAATTCTCCGGCATCACCGGATGCTCGCTGGTACAGTACGCGAGGTGCTGCGGCAGGAGATCCCACGGAATGGTGCTCTGATTACTCGATCTTCACTTCCCAACAGCACGATGAATGAGGAGGGCGTTGGTGAATGCTGGCGCACACGGTGGGAAGAACGATAGACCGAGAAAAGCCCAGGTAGCAGAAATCGGAGCGCAGGCGCCAGATAATCAAGAATCGTCAACTTTGCGGCGGGAGGTGACTGACGACGAAGTCACGACAGGGGCACGTGACTTTCGTCCAGTTTCCGGGCGCCTTTACGGAGTACATACGACCTCGCCCGGTGTCGCCCAACCTCCCCCGGACACGGAGAAGTCTACGGCAGGGTGCAGGGCCATTGGTGAGAAACGGTCGAGGGGCTTTAAAAGTCGTCGATTTGTTCATGGCTGCCGAAGCCAGGGGCTGCCGGAGACATGAATGCCAGAGACATGAATGCCAGAGACATGAATGCCAGAGACATGAATGC